GCCAATGGTTCCAAATTAAGCAGAACGGTGCTGCTTTCATATAAAAGTTGGTACATTTTGAATTTCACAAATTCTTTTGACTCTGGTGCCACCCTTTGCAGGAGAGGAAAGAGAGAGAGCAGGAACTGATGGTCTTCTGAGTAGTCGGGCGGTCCGGCTGCTTTGGTCCGTAGAGTCTCCAGCAGCTCCCGCTCCCACTCTAAAGGCCCACCAAGGAAGAGGGCTCGGAAGAGGCCCACGTCCGTAGAGCCGCCAACAAAGAACACAGGGCAATCACAGTGTTAAAAAGTGGAACATGTATTTCAAAAAAGCAAAATGAAGAGAGCAAATAATATCTGTATTAAAGCCAGAGTGTGTAGACATAGTTAAACACATGTAAAACACTTTTAAGTTGTGTGTTTGTTACAATTAACTTGAACATTGCAGTTATCAATGAAATTACTCACACAAGCACAAATTTCGACAGTTACAAACTAATATCTCTGAAGTGTATTTCGCAATGAAATTTGAAATTGGCTGTAAAAAAGTAATACTCTATTGTCTGCATTAAACAGGATAGCTGCCATCTTGTGGCAACCATTGCATGTATTTGTTCAGTACTTTTATAGCATAAGGTATTTCAGTAGTATGTTTTTATCAAAGAAAGAGGGAAGATGTGTTGTATCAGACCAAAGCTTCTTTCCACCTGTAGTGCCTTGACATCTTGGTGTTTCTCTGTAAATTTGTCGTCTACACTGATGTAACAGCCCTTGGGTAATTTTGGCATATTATGCAGTAACATTTTGTTTATATGAACAGTCCTGTAAAAAGAATAAAAATAAAACAATGATTAAAAAAAGCCACACCTGTAGGTGCAGAAGCAGGGGAAGGTCCAGCCCTCACAGAAGAAGAACCGGCTGAGGAAGAAGAAGCAGCAGCAGCAGCAGCAGCAGCAGCAGCAGCAGCAGCAGCAGGCAGCTCAGGCAGCTCAGGCCAAGATGTCTCACCTTGTGTGGTGGTGGCAGTGTCTGTGCCAGAAGAAAACAAGAAATACAATTATTTCATATCATGTGTACATTGCGCTTATGACATTTATATGTACATAATAATGTACATTATTATGTACATTTAAATGATTTGTTCATATAAAAGGGAAAAGTGAAATTTAACACAACACATGATCAAGATCTATCCTGGTTTGAAAATAGCCAATGCCTATTTTCACCTGGCCATGATGTTAAGAAATCATTAAAAGAAATGCATACACAGAAAGCAATATAAATGTAAAAGTCAGCAAAATGTGGGTAATAGAAAGGAAAGAAATGTATTTTTTCCAACTGTTGGAGGTCTCTGTTTGCTGCATGACACCGACCTTCAGCACCTGACAGCCCTGCTGCTGCTGCTTCCTCTGGCTCTTCTTCTGGGTGGTTGTACCCTGTGGTCTGCTCCTCCTCGGCCCTTCGCCTTGGCATGTTCCCGGAGCTGTCACGGGGAGTGATGTAGGGCTCGAGGAAGGACATGACCACAAGGTACTTCCACGTCTGGCCTTTCCCTGCTTCTGCTACACTCTTCTTCACCTTCTCCTTCTCCTTCCTGCTCTCCTTAGCATATGTGTCCCTCAGATTCTTCCACCGCTTTTTGCAAACTTCCACTGAATAAACACATCAACTCGTAAGCAGGAAGTAGTAGTTTTTTTTCGCGGGGAAATATTTACAACATTGAAAAGTTAAAATAACTTACCCGAGACACCAACCACCTCGCTAACCCTCCTCCAAGCAAGCTCCTTTTTATTTCGGTCCCGGTAGCTGATGTCCGCAGTGTTATATAGCTCAGAATGAGCACCGACCTGAGCAATTGACGTGTCCTCCATAGCTGTCATCTACTAGTGTTTTTCCGGTAGTGAAATGCGTCACTACGTCACTGGAGGAGAAAGCTCCTGATTGGTCGGCACACGCGAATTCTCCCAAAAAGTTCAACATTGTTCAACTCTAGCGGCGGCCGCGTTGGAGGCACGAATCGCGCGAAACGCGCGTCAAAACGCTTGACATCTCAAAACACGCCGCGCGAATCGCGCGAAACGCTCGAATTCGCGCCGCTCTGGCCGCGCGAATCGCGCCGCGTGATCTCTCGCCGCTCCTTGGCGCGCGTCCCCCATGTTGTGTCAATGTAGACCCGCCGCTTTGGCCGCAGAAATCGCGTTTGGTCTGAACGCACCATTAGGGTTACTTCCTGTTTCCAGATGCCCCGCCTCCATCTGTCTCTCCTGTGTCGTTAGTTACCTCCTGTTCCTGATGCCCCGCCCTCATGTATCTCACCTGTCTCGTTAGTTGCTTCCTGTTTCCAGATGCCCCGCCCTCATGTGTCTCACCTATCTTGTTAGTTACTTCCTGTTCCTGATGCCCCGCCCTCATGCGTCTCACCTGTTTGTTGTTAGTGTTACTTCCTGTTCCTGATGCCCCGCCCTCATGTATCTCACCTGTTTGTTTTTAGTGTTACTTCCTGTTCCTGATGCCCCGCCCTCATGTATCTCACCTGTTTGTTGTTAGTGTTACTTCCTGTTTCCAGATGCCCCGCCCCCATCTGTCTCTCCTGTGTCGTTAGTTACCTCCTGTTCCAGATGCCCCGCCCTCATGTGTCTCACCTGTCTCGTTAGTTACTTCCTGTTTCCAGATGCCCCACCCCCATGTTGGTATATTTTTTCTCGTCTTTGTTTTGTATGAAATTTGATGAAATCCTTAATTTTTGCAGTTCTAAGTTTTGGGTTTAATTAGTTTTAACGTTAAGAAAACTTCCGTCCTTCATACTCCATTTAACTCAAAAGGTTTTTTAAATTAGAGTTAGTTAGTTAAAAAGATACATTTGTTTTCATTGCGTTAAAACAGATTAATGTGTTCAGAATGTTAGAAACTTAAACCAGGAGAGACTGGTCCTGACAAAGACCCTGGAGAAACTGGTCCTGACAAAGACCCTGGAGAGACTGGTCCTGACAAAGACCCTGGAGAGACTGGTCCTTACAAAGACCCTGGAGAGACTGGTCCTGACAAAGACCCTGGAGAGACTGGTCCTGACAAAGACCCTGGAGAGACTGGTCCTGACTGGTCCTGACAAAGACCCTGGAGAGACTGGTCCTGATTGGTCCTGATGAAGACCCTGGAGAGACTGGTCCTGATGAAGACCCTGGAGAGACTGGTCCTGACGAAGACCCTGGAGAGACTGGTCCTGACGAAGACCCTGGAGAGACTGGTCCTGACAAAGACCCTGGAGAGACTGGTCCTGATACAGACCCCGGAGAGACTGGTCCTGATACAGACCCCGGAGAGACTGGTCCTGACAAAGACCCAGGAGAGAATGGTCCTGATGAAGACACCGGAAAGTCTGGTCCTGCTCCACGGTTAAGTCAGCGATGAACCCACTGCAGTTCGCGTGCCGGCTAGGAGTGAAGGACGCCACCATCCACCTCCTCCACCGCTCGCTGTCCCACCTGGGACCAGGAGCTACATGAAGCTCTATAGTCAGTCGCTTGTGTTTACATCTAAAACCACAAGAAAAAAATGCATTGCTTTTGTTAAATGAAAAAAATCTGTACCTTACCTTCAAAATGTCTGAAATTGGTGAATTTTTTAGCTATTAAAACAATCTATGGGCTACAACTGCCAAGCAAGGCTCACGTCAATCTCTGACAATTTGTGGCAGTTTTCGCAAATTCCTGCCGTTTACTTGAACTTCCACAATAATTTACAATGCCGCATAGAGACGGAAATCACACTTTTCATGCAGTGCCTGCTTTTGTGGTGCCCCCATCCGCGGAGTGTCTTAAAGAGCTACACGCGTGCTGGAGGGACCCCAGCAGTCTCTCTAAGCTTTCAGCTGAGGGTCGGGTCTTGGCCGCTATGCACGATGTCTCTCCGGCTGGTCTGGATTGCAGGCCTGCTGTTGAGACGGCTGTGGCTTCCCTCACTGTTTCCCCGGAGGTGTCCTTGCGGGCAGAATGTGAGGTGGCCTCGGAGCCAGTGTCGTGCGACGGATCATTTGAATACCAAGGCCTACAATTCTGGTGCTCGAGCTGGCCGCATTGGTAACTCCTTAGCGCATCTGCTGCTTGCCCTGTCTGCCTCTCTTCAGGAGGGAGGTGCTGTGGGCACTGATGCTTGTGTGCTTAGCGACGCAGCTCTGCATGCATTTGCCTCGATGACCAGGGAACTCGGACGGGTCATGTCCGTCCTTGTACAGGCTCGTCGGCAGGTATGGCTGGCTCAGTCTCCCTTGACTGAGTCCTGTTGTAGGACCCTCCGTAACGTGCCTGTCGAGCCGGGTCAGTTGTTTGGGACGGCTGCCCAGGAAGCATTGGATCGGCCTGTCCATGCTGGTAAGACTAGACAGCAACTTTCTAGCCTTAGCAGAGTTGTGCGCCCCCCCAGCAGTTTGTGCGCCCGATGGCGGCCCCCAGTGTTCGGCCGCCTCCTCGGGATTGGTCTGGTGCGCAGCATTATCCCCAGGTCAGGCCTGCCGGGAATTTTTGTACTCCACCCGTACCTAGGCGCCCGGCCCGGCATTCAAGTGGCGCCAAGACTGGTCCTGGGAGAGGTCCCCCCAGAGCCCCTAAGAGGCGGGGGGCGCGGAATTGACACGTCGGGGCCGTTTGTCGGACATTTTTCCCATCAGCAGCTCGAGTGTTGGGCTCAAGGCGGCACAGCACCCCTTGCTGGTCCAAGTCCAAACTGAGGAGCCAAATGTGATTCCTTGTGTCTATGCCAGAGTTTATTTTGACTTGTTCACATGGTTTGATAAATAAAAGAGTCACGGTATCGCTCCATCAAACATAAAGTGGTTTAAGGATGATGAAGTGTACGGCCTGTTCGAGTGCTCTTCCAAGTACAAAAAAACAAAGGGAGAGACAGTGGAGAGGAAACTAATAAAGGAGAAGATGGAGTTCCACCCCCCCCACACTGGTCAAGGGAGGAGTGACAACATGTTGGCCTTCTTCACAACACCAACCTTTTTTAGAAGGCCCGTTCAGAGTGATGAAAGCAAAGATCCGCTACCCCAACTCTGACTGCCCTGCGCCTCCAGGAGCAAACCTCGAGAAGCTCAGGTGTTCTTACTGTGAGAAGTTGAGGCTGGTGAGCAAGACACTTGAAGACTCTGAGGATGAGGACTGCCACCACTCGCAGCCGTACATGTGGCATTCGACCAGATCCTCCTAAACTTGGCACCGGCCATCCAGGGCATGTTTCCTGCCATTCTGTGTCGATAGAGGTGTGGTCACCCTGCTGAACGACCGGATCAACAGCACGTCCATGAGCAAAGTGCAGAGAATGCTGCAGCTGGGCCATGATGAGTGGTATGTGGAGAGGCGAGACCTCTGGCCCCCTCTCCTCATACCTCGGCGCATTTACTCGGCCATGCATGATCATGGAGATGGAGAAAATGCCAGATATCAAGAGCCAATATAAAAGAATTGTTGACCGTGTGATGATCCCCTCCTCAACAATCTCTGCCAAATATAAACGCAAAATCCATTGTCACAAGAGGAGAGGGCTAACTTCAAAACAACAGCAACAGCAAATGTGAGGCCACACCAGAGAGTTCTGTGTGATAATCCCTTCCCTGAAGCTCCAACTCTGCCCCCTCCCTCACTCCACCAGATCGGCCCCAGGTCTAATACCCAGTCTTCCATCACAAGGCTGGGGAAAGGCTTGGACAGAAGCCTCCCCTGTGTTGCTCATACTTTGCAATCGGCGGTAAATGAAGTGTGGTGCTGTTGCGGTCGTGGGCACTTTTAACATTCTGCGTTAGCCTACTCCCATCTCAAAAACCTACAAATGCAGCTAAACAAACCCCTCAAGCGGCTTGTGGAGAAAGCCATTCTTGACTCATTTCAGGAACTAACTAGAACGGTTTCCACCCATGACGCCTTGGCTGCAGACGTTATTCCTGTTACTGTGCTGCAAAGACTGCTAAACAGGGAAACTGAAGAGGACAATGGCATCAAAACTATGAAGAGGGGCATGGCTGCAGCTGTCAGGAAGCGTTTCACAGATAAAGAGAGAAACCCTCTGTACAGCAACTCAACTCTACTGGATCCAAGGTAAAGTAAAGTGTGTGTCTGTGTGGAATCTATACCTTTTCAGATATATTTTTCACTAATGTATTATTAAAAATATATTTTATCTACATTACACATTTTGATTTTTTTCCCTTTTTAGGTATAAAGATTGTTTTCTGACACCATTGCTGCTATTGATGCCAAGGCAGCACTGAAGATGGAACTGGAAAGGGTATGACTATCCAGGAGAAGAGGCAGATCAGCCACCTGGCTTGTAGCAGTTTGGACTAATTGCTAATGAGCAGGAGACTGCATCAGTGAACCATACACCTCTGGGAGCTGCAGTTGAGTTGGAGATCTACCTCAGAGAGTAATACATGCCAAGCAAGCCCGCCAATACGGCCTAAAGATCTTCTGGATTTGTGATGCATGCATCCCTTTTGCAAAAGATGGCATAGTTTACACAAGGAGACAACCAGGGGAAGAAGTTCAGAAGAGTTTGGGGATAACCGTGTCCAGCAGTTGTGTAGTAGTTTTAGAAACACAGGTTGCAACATCCCCATGGAACTTTTTCACCGGTTTGTGCTCACTATTGTGGGGACTCTACATGAGAACAAACCAGACATCCCTTTTCTGATGAAGCCTCCTAAGTCCAGGGCGGTTTACAGCAGAGACCTTGGATTCAATGACAGCCTTACCATGGTCAGCTATGTCAGAAAGAAAGGAAAAGCTGTTGTTCTCCTGAGCACAATGCACCACCACAAAGTGGAATGAAAATAGCAGAAAAAAATAACAGAAGTGATCAGATTTTACATCGAGACGAAAGGAAGTGTAGACGCCGTTGACCAGATGGTTGGCACCTTTTCACAACTCAGTACCCAGATTTCAAGAGCGGCATCACCAATGCACGACAGCTCTTCCTCAAAGGAGTCGACTTGAAGGCTGCCCCCAATTATTGATGCAATGGCAAGGTGTGGGGTTGCAAAAGCCATAACCCAACCGAAGGAAAGAAGCAGACAGGGCCAACTAAATAGAAAGAGGTGTAACTAAGATCGTAAAGTCAACGATAGGTGTGGGAACTGTATACAGTGATGTGACTGCCCAGTCATTGAGAGTCATCCAAAGCGATTATTCTTTAATAAAATCCCAAAAATGGCATAAAAACATATTGTTTCTAATATGGGTCACTTTTGATCCACTTATGGAAGAGTGTAGGGTCCATGGATCTATAATAATAACTGGATAGAGCAGGGGTCTCCAACCTTTTGTGCTCTGTGAGCTACTTTAATTTAAAAAATCAGGCGTGAGCTACTTATGCTCGGAAATATTTATTTTTCCGTTATGGTTTAGAGAAAATGCACAAAGTGAGAAACATGCGATATTATTATCAAAATAACAAAGAACACTTGATATTGCCACAATTAAAACAAAGTGTGTACATGTAAACTTCACTCTAACAAAAAGCTCAAGCTGAAACATACTCAGTGGGATGGCTGACACTGCATGGCCTCAACAAGACTGGAGTATTGTGGAGTATAGCTACTCAAATTCACCCTGATGGAATCGTTCAGGTGTTGATCAGTCAATCTCGTCCTGTACTTTGATTTGATTGCATTCATGTCCGAAAAAGCTGACTCGCAAAGATAAGTGGACCCAAACAGAGCAGACACTTTCAAAGCAACCTCATTAAGGTTCTTAAAGTCATTTGGATCCACAAGGCTCCAAAAATGTCCTGAACTCTGCTGAGACTTGAGCTGCACATTGTTTTGTAGGTTAATCACCTCCATTTCCATTTCTACAGGATCAATACCAAAAAGTACTGCCATCTGACCAGAAATGTCACTTATGTCCACATCCATGAAGGGGTTTGCCATAAATGTCACACAAGGCTGAAGTTTGTCAAAGTCAACAAATCTGTCAACAAACTCCTGTCCAAGTTTTGCCAAAAGCTCACAATATTTGTCCACATTCAAAGCACTGGCTGCCCCTGGATTATTTTCACACATGTTTGAGAGAGAAGAAAAGTGCTGTAACTTTTTGTTTTTCACCTGCTGGATGTACAACGAGAGCTTAGCGCTGAATGCTCTCACAGCACTGATCATGTCTGACACATGTTTATCTCTGCCTTGTAACTGTGTGTTCAGTTGGTTAATTTTATCTGTTACATCAGTCAGAAATGCAAGATCAAGAAGCCACTCCGTATTATTTAACAACGTAATATCTTCCCCCCTTGCCGCCACAAAAGTCTTGATTTCATCCAGCAAAGAAATAAAGCGTTGCAATATCTTACCGCAACTTAACCACCTGATGTCCGTATGAAGGAGAAGATCCCCGTGATCCGCGGCGCATTCCTCCAGGAACAATTTGAAGCTCCGATGTTGCTTTGCCTTTGCTCGAATGGAGTTGATTATCTTGACAACAGGTCCCATAACATGGTCAAAATCCAGAACCTTTGCACATATGGCTTGTTGATGTATAATACAGTGGTAGTTCAAAAACTTGGGAAAGTCCGGGTCCGCTTTGCAATGCGCAATAAATCCGTTGTGGCGGCCAGTCATAGCAGGGGCTCCATCACTCGTTATGGACACCAGCTTTCTAATAGGGAACTTTTTATCCACCACATATCCTTTTACGACGTTGTAGATGTCTATTCCCCTGGTGGAGGTTTTTAGTGGAAGCAAGGTCAAAAACTCCTCTTTGGTGGAGAAGTCCTCAAACACCATACGCACGAAAAGAGCCAGCTGCGCGGTGTCACTCGCGTCCACCGACTCGTCACACTGAAGGGAAAACCATTGACTTCTCTCAATGTCCATATCCAGCTGTTTTGTGGCATCCTGTGACAGCGCAGTAACTCTCCGGGCCACTGTATTTGCCCCAAGTTGCACATCAGAAATAGCGGAAAGAATCTCTGTCTTACTTTTGTGATCATCAAATAAAGTTTCAGCCACCGCAGTCATAGCATCCTTCACAATGGCTCCATCCGTAAAGGGCTTTTTGTGTTTTGCTAGTAAGTGTGCCACTTTGAATGACGCCTCCGTGGCCGCACAACTCTTTTTTGTTGTCTTGGTGAATAAAGATTGCTGTCTCTGAAGCGCTGATTTGAGCTCCTTCACCTTTTCTTTTCGTAGGTTGCTCCCCGTGGGAAACTCGTGTGAAAAGTTACCGTGGACTGAGACGAAATGGCGCTGAACGTTGCATCGTTTACCAACAGCCACACTGAACCCACAGATCAGACAAACGCATTTATCGTTGACATTTGTGAATAAAAAGTCCGTTTCCCACTCCTCGTGAAAAGCGTACGTTTTCCTCCTCTTAGCAGAGCTCATGATGCCGCATCAACTCTGTCAAGGCCCGTGCACGAAACAAACGCTGGGTATCAGTTTGACTGAAACGCGCGATCCTTTGATTGACAGCTTACAGACAAATAATATGTTATTTATGTAAATGGGGCGGGACACACCAACGGATATGATAATATGATAGGCCAAATCGACGAAAAATGCGAATGTTTTTTTTATTTTTTCTCTCATGCTAAATTTAGGAAAATAATGGATAACCTTGCGCGAGCTACCCAAAATGGGGCCGCGAGCTACCGGTAGCTCGCGAGCTATAGGTTGGAGACCCCTGGGATAGAGTATTACTTGCTCATAGCTGTCCCACCCATGGGCACAGGGGGCGCTGTGGTACTACAGACTAAATTCACGAGGGCTACCCAGAAAAAAGTCCGTACAGAGAACCTGACAGAGAACCTACAGCTTTCATAAAGATCGTATTTTGTCGGGATTCTAGTGTCCCTTGTCATCCTGAACTTTTTTTCTTCTTAAATCCTTCAGTTTTCTTTAAATCCACACTTTACTGCCACAAACTCTGCTCCTTTCCTTCCGCCCTGACTCCGCTCTGCTGCTGCTCTGATCAGCTCTGATTGGTCAAAAGCCCCTCTGTGCACGTGCATGAGAGCCACACATGCGTATTTGGCACGACGCATCATGGGAGCTTGTCCACTGCGCAGAACCGGGAGGACCAGACGATGCCCATATATAGGTGAGTTCAGCTAATCTCCCGGTCTCCATGAAGTCCCATGAACTACTGAGCACAAGCCATTCATTTGAAGAGGGCGCCATCTTGGATCACCGGGGCTCTGTAGGGTCCAGTCACTCGTGCATCTAAGGGATAACAAAGTTCTCTTCCCTGCATTGGCTAAAATAGTCCAAAGTTTCCTCTCAGCACCTTGTGGATAGTGAAAGGCTGTTTAGCTCAGTGTCACACATTGTTGATGAGAAACTAAACAGATTAACAGGTGACACTACAGAAATGCTCCTTTTTATGAATAAAATCGTAAGCACTCTGGATCAATTGTATTGTAGCTGAAGTTTGCGTATCGGTTGTTTGTCTGGTCTCGGAGTCTGCTGTACTGGACCCGGGTCCGGACTAGCCTAGCCTAGCCTAGCCGCTAACTCGCTACCCCAATGGCTGCTTCTGTCTCTCCCTCTGTCCTTTACTGCTCGAGTTGCCATATGACGAGTTTAAACCCTGGATCCTCCTCTGAGGGCAGTGATAGATGTGTTAAGTGTAGTACAGTAGTAGCTTTGGAATCCAGGGTTAGTGAGTGAGCTGAGTCTCGAGCTAGCGCTAGCATTAGCTATAGCCTAGCAGTATCCTCGGACATGCAGCCCTCCTCCTCTGCTACACAGGCTGCTGTTGCTACAGGTCCATTCAGATTGTACAGAGCAGTCAGCACCATTGACTTCACAGTTTCTGAGTCATTCTTTTAAGACATAAACATTTTCAAAAACTACTCGTGCTGTGCTGAATTTTCTATTAAACACTTGCTCTGATATTATAATAAATAGTACTAGTTACGCGTCACACGTAAATGACGTGGTCTGACAACGCTGAGGACATACCGGGGGTACTATTTTTGATGGAAAAGCACGCGAACTGGGCCGTGCTGCGCCGTGTAGAGTCGACACAAAGCGTACTGGGACTGTGGAAAAGCGGCATTTGACTCTTAAAACACACATATTACGACATGGAACTATCAACATCTCGCCTCAAATTTCATCAAAAGTGTGTCTTTATTTGTTCATATTTAAACTTTTAAAGCACTTTACGAACCTGATGTCCGCCATCTTGGTTTGCTTTGGCTGCCGTGAGAAGAGCATGCGCAGGTTTGCATTACATCATTAACATTAAAGTCATTAAAGACTTTAATGTTAAACTGTGTGATAAAATGACAATGGCAATCGATCATATGTTTGAATGTGTGACGATAGAAATAACTCTTGAAAAAAGGAAAAATATATTAGTCTCTTGTATCTACCGTGCACCAGGTGCAGATATTGAAGGTTTTATTGAACATATTGAAAAGATATTCACTTATAGTAACCACAGAGATGTCTTTATTTGCGGAGATTTTAATATCGACTTACTGAAAGTAAAATCTCATAAACCCACTGAAAAATTTGTGGACACCATGTACAGTCTGTCGCTTTACCCCTTAATCACACGCCCCACAAGGATAACTGCACACGGTGCAACATTGATTGATAATATCTTCACAAATGTTCTTGACAATATGACAAGTGGAATACTGTTTAACGATATCAGTGACCACTTACCAGTATTCACTCTATACAAAATACAACAAAAAAATCAGAAAAACAAAAGTAAACTTATGGTTAAGAATGTAAGATTGACATCTGAGTGCTCGATGAACGCTTTCAAGCAGAGTTTGTCAGATCAGGACTGGAATAACGTTCTTGGAGAACAAGATGTTAATATTGCATACTCACAATTTGTTAACACAATCAAACAGTTATATGATCAACATTGTCCTGTGGTAACGCACAAATACACACAAACAAAGATATGTGTCCCATGGATGACAAAGGGATTATTGAACGCATGTAAAAAGAAAAACGTCTTATATAAAACATTTATAAAAAAGAAAACATTGGAAACCGAAACGAAATATAAAAAATATAAGAATAAATTAACAAGTATAATAAAAAACTGCAAAAAAAATTACTATAGAAATATGATAGAGGTTAACAAAAACAATATGAAAGGACTATGGAAAGTCTTAAATCATGTAATGTCTAAAGACATGGAGAAAGCTAGTTACCCGGATTATATGATGGCAAACAATGACAAAATTACAGAAGGGGAGGGTGTAGTTAATGCGTTCAATGATTATTTTGTCAATATTGGGCCTCACTTGGCATCAAAAATAGCCAAAACATGTAGTAATGTTTCTCAACACAAAGGTAGAAACGAACACTCCCTCTTTCTCACTGCAACGGATGAAAATGAAATAATCAAAATCGTTCAGGCGTTCAAAAGTAAAAAATCTACTGATTGGAACAACTTTGACATGAACATGATCAACAAAGTTATACAAAACATTACTTTGCCTTTAACACATATTTGTAATCTATCCTTTTCAACTGGAGAATTCCCAGACCTCATGAAGATTGCCAAGGTCGTTCCAATCTATAAGAATGGAGATAAGCATCAATTTACTAATTACAGGCCGATATCTATACTTCCACAACTATCCAAGATTTTAGAAAAACTCTTTGCTGCCCGTTTGGACAGCTTTGTGAATAAACATAACTTACTCAGTGACTGTCAGTACGGGTTCAGAAACAACAGATCTACAGCACATGCACTAATCAATCTAAACAAAGAAGTCACCAACAACATTGACAATAAACTGTACTGTTTGGGTATATTCATAGACCTCCAGAAAGCCTTTGACACTATAGATCATGAAATCCTCTTAAGTAAACTTAATAATAATGGGATCAAAGGGGTGGCTAACAATTGGTTAAAGTCATACCTGACTGAAAGACAGCAGTACGTACAAATTGATGAACATGTATCAGGGCGGAAGAACATAGTATGCGGAGTCCCCCAGGGGTCTATATTAGGTCCCAAATTGTTCTTGTTGTATATAAATGATCTGTGCGAAGTCTCAACAAAGTTGAGATTTATTTTATTCGCGGACGACACAACAATTATTGGTTCTGGCAAAGATCTACAAGTGCTTGTCTCAGAGGTCACAACTGAATTATACAAATTGAAAGATTGGTTCTGTAGAAATAAACTGTCGCTGAATATATTGAAAACAAAAATGATTCTTTTTGGTAAACGTAATAGTGATATTCAAATTAAAATCAATATTGATAATGTTCAAGTTGAACAAGTCAAGGAATATACATTTCTAGGTGTGGTCTTCAGCCATAAGGCAAGCTGGAGACCACAAATAGATAGCATTCGAGGGAAAATGGCAAAAAATGTGGCAATTATGGGCAAATGTAGATTTTTTCTGGACCAAAAGGCTCTCTTCACCCTGTACTGTTCCTTAATCCAACCGTACATAAACTATTGCTCAGAGGTTGGGGAAATACCTTCAATAGTCATTTAGAGGTTTTATATAGACTTCAAAAGAAGGCCATAAGAATCGTTCATAACGTCGGTTATAGGGACCACACAAATATACTGTTTTTAAAATCAAACACAATGAAATTTGATGATCTTATAAAATATAATACTCTGTTACAGGTATATAAAGCTGTAAATAACCAGCTCCCTAGCAACATACAACAAATGTTTGGTAAAAGAGATGGAAGATATGACCTCAGAGGTACTCATTACCTCAAAGTTCAAAGTGTTCACTCTTCCTTAAAAAGTTGCTGTATTACCCGGAGAGGTGTACAATTGTGGAATAATCTAGAGAAACCCTTAAAAGATGTTGCTTGTTTACAGCTATTCAAAAAACGATACAAGAGAAGTGTGTTTGAGAAATATG